CGCAACATCACTTGTTTTTAATTTGCCCAGTTCCAACTACCCTAAGCAGCTCCATTGGCTCACGTATTCCATATAATATCCTCCACACCACACGACGTGCACGTCGTGCCCACACGCATTCCACTTCAAAACCAACAACACGAACCCAACACACCCTGCTGGTGGCCCATAACTGCCTGTCCTTCCACCCAGCATCCGGTATGCAACACTTCCATTGGTAGGGTCCTGTAGTGATATAGTAGTTGACCTTCCCGCCTTTCATCCTGCCTCCCTTTCGCGCACTGCATACTCCGCAACGCAAAACACCACCAAAAGCACGGCGTTCTCCACGCAAAGCTTATGATTTCTGTTTGCGCCCTTCGTGAACCAACGGGACCCGGGCTCCCAAGGTGGCCTGATGTTGCGGACTGTAAAACAGGTAACGATCGAACGTCAAGTACCCAAGCTACCACCTCTCCAAAAGCAGCCCAACGCAAGATGGTGGAAATAGAGCATCGTTTTTGCACAACGCCAAAGATCCTGTCTGCGCCGCTGCATGCATCTGAAGCGTATCCAAACACATGTTGGTAGCTGGTACACCACTCGTTCAGTGTTCGTCGCAATCCACCCGCTGCGCCAACCCACAAACAGTACACCCGAGTACCTCTCTCCGCCATGGGCACAACCTGGAACGCGTAGCAACACACAGTCCAAAGCTAAACCGTGTACAGTCAGCAAAGCCCCAATAATTCTGCCGGCGCACTCAACGTTCACCCACAACTCCACTGCACGCATTCCTGCCAACCCCCCATCCGCCCACGCCAGGTGCCCCAACTCCAGCGAACATCCCGCATTCGCCTAGTCCCTATGGCAGAGTCTTGTTCCTCGGGCTTGGGAATGCACAACGATGCTACCAACGCACTTCCTCCTGCCAGAAAACCGTCACGCCCACGGCAACCGTGAAGAACAGGATGCACGGAGTAGCTGTGGACTCCCCTCCAGAAGCTGCGTCGAGCGCCACCTTTTTAGCACCCTCGCAATTCATCGTAAAGCTCGCGCAGAGCGTGCTAGCCTACCCAATCTGAATAAAGGCGGAAACCAGCGAACGCAGAGTACTCACGGCATAATCAGGTCCCCTCAACCAACATACGCATCTAGTAGAGCACACAAGCATAGCCCCCGTTCCAAAGCCTTTTCACTGCCCTCTTCATCAGTTTTGCATGCTGCTAAAACATCCATTTAACGTCTGCTGTCAGCTGCTACGCTACCCTAAAGGCACCTGGCCCCACTGCGTCACTGTTCAAGACGCACAACGGCGTCAATGACAACCGATGAGCACTAATATGTCGGTGTTTACGGAATCGTGCCGTGTCCGCGTTTGGCTCATCTGCAAACTTGTATGCGAAGAGCAAGCCTATGGGATATGCAGATAGCAAATGCAGTGCCTTCGCGACTAGATTTGCTGCTCCACTAACTACGCGCAGCGGGAGCTTCATCCAACACAACAGCATATGTCACAACTTGCAAATTCACAAACTGGATGCATTTGATCCTGCCGCAAACAAGTATGCTAAATGCATGTTTCTTAGCTGCAGCTGTCACCCCTAAAGCCTGAGAGCCGAAGAGCGGCTGCAGTCGTATATTTCGAAGCATGAACATCCAGCTGCTGCTGCAACTGCTTGGCCCGCGAGGTGCTTGTGGTTCCCCCCTGCAATGCTGCAGGCGTGTAACCATCACGCAGATGTCCTAACAATCTCTGCGCACCGTGCTCTAGGGGCGATCTCTGGATAAAATGAATGGAGATAGTCCCCGAACACAATCCAAGTGCCCGCCCAACGCATTGAAGCAAACCAGTCCGTCGCTTGCCCTGTGCTGCTCGGGTGTTAGGTTGAACAAAAAGCAGCACAGGGCCTTCGCTGTTGCTGCAGTCTGCTGCGTTCGCATCCGTTTCACAGCACGTAGAAACACAAGGAGAAACGTCAGCCTTACCATCAAAGCCTGCCACTTTTAATCGCTTCCAGCAACATCACCAAGCGCGCGGACACTCAAAACCGGCGTGACTATCGAACTGTCAAACCGCCTACACAGCCATCAAGTTGCGGACCTCAACAGCAACCATCCCAAATGCCTACACTTCCGAGCAAACAGATTCCTTCCCGCTTTTCGCCAAGCAGCGTTTGCCGCACGGCACTATGCACTCCCAGCAGCGCTGTCCAACTGAAGCGAAGCAAGTCCTAAGCTGGGAATTCCCTCCTAACCGGACAGTCCGTGGCTTTGAAGCACAATCGAGTGGTACAGCAACTTTGCAACTGTTACAGCCGTCCTCATGTGCCCATAACTGTCCGGCATCCGTAACCAGCTCGAAAGTCAGGGTATTGTACATGGCCCTGACGGCTTCTACGAACCTAAAGTTCGATTTCAACAGTTCCGGCTCATTCTTTACACTGGTTTGCGTTGAAAATGAGATGCAAGCAATTCCCACATATCGCGGCCACAGCGCTCCTGCCGCGCTCACGCGAAGCCTGTGGAAATGGTCGTCGCTGCCTCGTGCACTAGCCCCAGAAAATTCGCTTCCGATGTATCGCACCTCCAATACTACAAGCAGTCTGCACTGCGTTGGAATTATCAAACCCAAACCTGCAATAGCCGTGAGCAACGCGTGCATGCACAGTGCATTTGACCCCTTTCTAAAGTCGAACACAAAGCACTGCACACTGAACGAAAAACCTGGTGGGAAGCTGCACTCAGCTCAATTTATCATGAATGGACATTCAGGGCACGGCGCCAATGTAGTGAGATCACTTTGAGAAGAAGCTCGCTCGTCGAGCATGCAGCAAGGTGTATCTTGGCGGCTGTGTTGTATGTGTGTCGGAAGAAGTATAAATAACAAAATCGCACAACATATCTACCATACACTCAATGGCACTTCCCTGCTGCCTGCTGTAGCCCCTAAAGTGCCAGGACGAAGGCTTGGCGTGTATGAGCAGGTAACAGACTACGAAATTACAAAACAAAGTGGATGTGCGACCGAAGTCCGCACGAATGCACAGATAACATTGAAATCCGCAGCCACCACGTTTCGCCCGCAGTTTTGATCAATTTTCGGCAAACGACCTACGGAACAAGAGTCTTCAGGGATCCCTGCAAGTCTTCTTGCACTCATTCCATTCGTAGTTTTGAGTTTGAGGGAGGTCATTGCAGTAAAGCAACGGACGGCGAGAAACCCCACTGCTAACGCGGCCATCAAGATGGACAGTGTTGCTAGGAGGGCCACACCGCGCCGGGGTTTGGTCACCCCCAGGGTGATACCGGGAGACACATTTTCACTAGATACGGAAGGACTAGTTAGGTCAGAAGCCCACGCGGCTCCTGCTAAATGAAAGCCGCTGGCTGCCATCGCAACAAGGGACGCGGGAATCAACGGTAACGGAAGACGAACCATCGTGACGGCTGGGGTCAAGTTCACGATTTTCCGTTCAGTGGTTTCGAATGAATATTCAGTTAGGTAGTAATTGATATGGGTGGAAATGATGGACGCTCGTGGCCAGAACCATGGGCATCGCCGTGAAGGACGGCTGACCACGATCGATCCCCACTTTAGCGGCAGCCCACAGCCAACAGTGAGTCTCCCACTGCCTGAAGTGCACAGATCGGTTCACAGATAGAACCGCCTTCCCCATCATTTATAGTTTAGTCTAAACGAATTACTTGCATGGGACAAACTAAAAAGACCGCCAATTCAGTCAGGCTGCACCTCTCAGCTCGGATGCCTGCGGTCCCCTGGCTAGTTCCATTTGGAGTGCCACACAGTTCTAGAATTAGGCTGCAGGATGAAGGACCTCAGATTTCTAAAATTCAGCTTTAAGTATGATTTTACATAAAATAAAGGTGCCGTATATGGCTCACAAGTGGCTAATATGGGCTTGCCGTTCACCTCCAGTGGCAGCATTCCACAGCACCAACGACTGGTTCACTGTGGGGACTAAGGCCAAGCATTGCCCCAGTGAAAACGTGCCCATTTTGGGCCCGTTTTTTCTAAATCCGATCTAATCATAGGATCAAACTGAAACCTAAAGTTGAATTCTCCTCGCGTGTCCGGGACGCGGAGCATTCGATTTGCCTCCTATACCGCTTGTAACATGAGTTAGCGCAGAGTTAGCTCAGGAGCCTATCGACGGCCTTGGCATGCTGCGCGTAAGCGC